CCCTCCGCAGCTACCTGGGAATATTCCCCCTGTTCGTGGTGTGAAGGTTGTAGGGGGATAGTGTGAGGGCTGGGACCGAGGGCTCGCTACAGCAGGATGGAGGGAAGCTGTTTTTCAGGGGAATTAAAAAAAAATGTCTCCCCAGGATCTCTCTGCAATTCCTCCCCTCCCCCCATGATATATATATTTTTTCCTTTCTTTCTCGTTGCTGAAGTGTAAGAAGACACTACAGACCTTCTGTCATGGTTAATGATGGAGGATCTCCTTAACCCTTATAACATGCTTCTCGGTATCTGTCTGTCACTGTTCTTTTCCCATTTCTGTCTCCTTAGGGCCAGGACCTGGACAGTGTGTGATTGTACTTGTGATAACACCAGGCCTCATCAAGGGGCATGAGGATTATTCAGCACAAGAAGCTACATCATCTTGTCCCTTCTCAAAACCAGCTTTGCTTTTTATTTATTTATTTTTAACTGTCTCTGGCTGAGGGAACTTCAGATCCAGAAGAACAAATTCTGTAATAAAGTGGAGGGGTCATCTGGTAACCTGCTCCTGGCCTTGCAGTACTTCTTATCTTGCCAGGCCGACGTTTTTCCTTCCTTTCACTTTTTCATATTTTGCCGTTGTTGAGCCTCGTGGTCTAACTGACTGACTCCGTAGGAGATGAAGGGATTAGAGGGTAACGTGTGCTGGGCGTAGGGAATATGTGTTAACGTGTCATCCATTGCCGTTTTTCCCTCCTTGCAGTTGCAATCCTGTTGCTGAATGTGATGTCAGGCTCTATAATGGGGAAGAGGTCTAAGATGAACTTCTTCCTCCCTCCCCCTGGTTCATATCAAATCTGTTTTCCCTATTTTGCCTTGCTGTAGTGTTGAAAGCAGGGGTGTTACAATTCATATTGCATCTGTCAGTCTTGGGTGGGAAATTGGAGGCTTCAAGATAATGTCTTCAAAGCCATCTTCGGTTTGTGCTGTCCCATTTCCTTGGCTCTAGGCAGGCAGCCTGGGAGATGGAGAAGTCTTGGTGAGGAGGGAGAACATTCTGTCTTCGCTGGACTTCCCTTCTTGATCATTCTCTCTCTTTAACCTTGTTGTTGTTTTGCAGGAGCGGGAGCAGTGCAAGGGGGCGTTATTAATCATAACACCAGGTCCCAGACTTCAGCTCTGGATGGAGCCACCACAACGAGCACCAGCACCACCACTGCAGCAGCAGGAGGATCTGAAGTCACTGCTGCTCCAGGGACCCTCAGTCAGGGCAAATCGGTGGTCATCAGTACAATGGCAACTGCGTTGTCCACCAGGAACGGCAAGATTGGGACCACAACAGTGCAAACTTTGAATGGGAGTAACGTGGTGATGAACTCTCACCATACAGGAAGTGCTGCTTTCTCGGGGACTCCTGTGACTGCTAACCCTGCTTCTGCACCTGCTGTTGCCCCTCTCGTTAACAATGGACCCGGATCCGTGGGGAAAGGAAATACTGTTAATGCTGTTTTGCCGTCAGCTTCCAACACTGTCATCCAGACTTCTTTCCTTAATACTGCTGTGTCCTCTGCATCTTCCTCCTCGCCCACAGTTATCTCCTCGCAGCCACCACCAAGCATTGGAACTGGGGCGCCTACGGTGACGCTTGTGAGGCCACCGATTCACGCAGCAGGACCCGCTGTAGCTGCAGCTGGTGCAGCCACTCAGAACGGGAGCAATACTGTGATCAATTCAACCATCAGTGTGGGGAGTTTTCCTGCTGTTGCTACAGCCACTGTGGGATCTGGAGTTTCCCTCCAGACGTCGCTTGTGAACAGCCAGTCTGGTTCCACTGTGCCAGCAGCTCCTGCCACACAGGTCATCAAATCAGAGTCTCCTAAAACTATAGTCCAGGCAGTATCCCAACAGCAGACGCTGGCTACTGGTGGCCAGCCCAGTACTACAGGGGGTAACATGATTATTGGGCAAACTATGCAAGCTGGGCTCTCCAATGTTGCTCCCAATCCTGGTGGGATACCTCCTGCAGCTCCTGGCACCCCCACAGGAATGGCTAAAGGCACTGCCAATACGGTGGCACAAAGTCTGCCGAGGACTCCAACAGCAACGACGAGTGGAATCAGAGCAACTTTGACTCCTACAGTTTTAGCACCTCGTTTGCCTCAGCCACCTCAGAATCCAACTAACATTCAGAATTTTCAGTTACCGCCAGGTAAGTCGAGAGGATGCAGGGGTTTAGTTTTGGAAGTGTATGTCATGCTGGAAGGAAGGTATCCAAATAAGATTTCTTCTGTTTCATTGTGAATTGTGGAAAAGGCACTGCGTTTCACAGTGAGAAGCGTCTGGTTTTGAGTAGTAGAATAGTTGTAGCATTCCACTACTTAGCAGATGATTTTGGGTGACCGAAGAAGTCTTTTCAGCAGTAGTAATTTGAAAATAATTCTGCCTGGTATCCTTGTTACAGTGTGAGTGCAGATGAAGCTGCAAACTGCCAAAACGTGACAATGGAATGTTGTCAAAGGAAATGTTGCTATTTCATTTTCACGTAAGGCATTTTGACTGTTAAGGCGGTATTGTCAGGGGTTCGCGTAACCTTCGCGTGCTGTTCGCTTCCCTCCCTGTCCCTGCATGCCCCCAGTACCACAGAGCACTCGTGAATAGAGAAGCAGTAGCTACAACACAAGAAAACTACCTTCTTTTGCTTTAAATACCTTCAAAGTCTGACTTAAAAACTCACCGATTTGAAGCTTATGACGGTCTCTTTAGACACTGGAGCCTGATACAAAAGGCAGCCCTATGTCCTTACCTCACCCTGTTGTGTCTAGGGTTGCAGCTTTTGTAGTAGCTAGTCTCATGCTTAGTCCTGAACTCGGTGGATGAGTAAAAAGCAGGAAGAGAAGCATTTCTGTTCTGAGAGCTGTTGCATCCCTCCTTAAATATTCTAGAATTGGAGATTTAAGGTTATGTATTTGCTAGTATTCTGAACTAGGCTTGTACTCATACCCGGTTGCAGTTTTAACTGAAAGAACTTGTGTGAAGCTACACATGGTTTTCTGTCTTTTCAATAATACGTAGTATTAGCTGTATTCTTGCTGTTCACTGTTTGCAGGGCAATATGCAAAGAACAGCTAATTAAATTGTACTCCTAGCACGAAATGAAATCAGTGGTGGTTGTGTAGCATCTATGTCAGTTGGTCTTGGTAAAAATATGTCTGTTGACACTCCCAACCAACCCTAAAGCAACGCACCTGTCATGTCAGGTAGAGCAGAAACTATACCGTGTCCCCGCTTTTCCTGTGATGTGCTCTTTGCGGTGCGTAATGCCGTCTGGTTTGAAGTCTCTCAAACATTCTGTGCATCGAAGTTCCTCATTTTTTTTCGTATAGAAGATTATCCCCTCTCTGAGTAATTTGAATGGCACATGTTGCTCATTTAAAAATACAATACTAAAACTCAGACCTTGAAATCCCAGTGCTTAATTTGAAGCCTGATAGGCTGGAAAAGCCTTATTTATTTACTTATTGCCACAGTGTATGGAAGGATTTTTCAGGTTTACAGCCTATTGCTATGTAAACCTACATTTTCACTAATACTGCATTATAAGCCTGATTATGGGAAAAATACTGCTGTTGAGTCCAGTGGGACCTTTTTTCCAGGTAGCTGATGTTTTCAAGCTGCCATAGCATCCTGAAATGTGTTACTCTTAGAAGCAGCGTTGCCAGTCCTTAAGCGTAATTGGACCATAAATTGCTCCTTTGGAGGTCTCGATAGATCAGAGTGAAAGAATGAGTTCTGAACACTTGAGGGTTTGTTATTAAGTGCTTTTCTTTTCTGTCCTGCATGTTAAAAAATATTTATAACTTCAGAAGAGTAGCATGACTCCTAAAATAAGCAAGTATACATGGCTGAATGCATGGAAATTGGAAATTTGGTTCTTGCATGATGGGAGACTTAATATTGGGAAGGATTTTTTTTTTTTTTAAACTGTATTGGTTTGATTTTATACCTGTAAAAGTAGCCAAATGCTTGGCATAAAGCATTTCTTACCAAACACTGAAGTGCTGACGGATGTTGGGCCCCTACGAACATCTCACAGGTGCAAGGGCCAAGCACCTCTGAAAGTCTGGCCACATGCAACGGCTTTCAGCTTTAGCACAGTGCCTATAGGGTCATAGGGAAAGTAGAATCGATGACTCTGCTTTTGAAATTGTATTGCAAATTACAGCGGCATGGGCCAGATTTGTAAAGGCTGTTTGGTAGTGTGAAGCTGCAACTGCAGTGCCTGTGTGCTGTGCATCCACCGCGTGCATCAAATCTGCAGGCAGGAGTTTGCTTTTAGAAGTTGTTAGTGCGTGCTGCCGCATTTGTAGGGCTCAGTGCATGAAATAGCTGGAGATCCTACACTGCACATGTGGTTTTTACACCAAGATTTGCAAATACGTGGAAAGAAAATCCTTTTGGAAGGTTTGACCAATAAGCAGCATGTCTTTTACAGTTAATTTCTTACCCTGGGTTACTGTTTCTAGCTCTCTAAAATGCAGTTACAGTTTCATGTGTAAGGAAAGCATAATTGGAAACATCAGTGGATGTTACTAACCTGGGACCTAAAAATTAGAAACCTTGAAAGGTTTTGAATGTTCTCTTAAAAAGAGCATGTGGAAAATAAGCTCCATTGACGGTCTTTAAAAGATGTTAATTTTAGAATAATGCTTTGTATTTCGTCAAGACAATTGTGTAACAAACATTGAGTGACCAAATTAGAGCTGTTTGAAGACCCAGTTGGGCTGTAGTTGTGACCTTACTGGATCCTGGTATATTGCTTCTCAACGAAACCAGACTTTTCAGAGCATCTGTGCATTCAGAGTGGTTTTCCGCTACTGACATCCTTCGGGTAGAGGACTGTTGCGCTTAGTCTGTTCTTCACGAGCCCGTGTTTGGAACTTTGTGGTCCACTTGGACAGACCTGGGTAATGAAGGTCCCAAAATAACCTTATTTATAGCTTCTTAGCAAAGACATGAAAATACTGGCAGCTCATTTTCTAGGGGGTTGGGACACAAGTTTCTCTCTGTACAGTGATGCTTTAAAGATGCAACTTCTTTAGATACTGTGACTGAAAATAAACTGTCTGAAGTTCTTTGTTGCAGAGTACTTAAAGCAGTAGTATCAAATGAGTTGTGTACAATAATATGGTAGGAGGTAGGAAAGTTGGTGAGTTTGCTAACACGCTAAGTCATTGTTCTGCTGTTAGAGATGCTCAGAAAAGTCTGCAGAAAAGTGTAACTGAGTTTATGCCCCAAGATTAATCCTTTGCAATGTAAGAGTTTGTAAAGTGTTAGAGGTCATTGCTGGCACATGGTAGAAACCGTGTAAAACGACAAAGCTTGTGTACTTTTAAATCACTTTTCAAAGTACTGTCTTCCCCAGCACTGCTATAAGAATTTCAAAACCAAGTCTACAAGCTTATGCTTACTTCAGCAGTATTGTCAACTCGAGTTCAAAGAGTCGGTTTCTGATCTTGCAGATGCTTTAGGTTGTTACTCTATTCTGCTTTATTTTTATGCAGAAGCATCTCATAATAAGATTTTAGGGTGCCTGCTTAAAGCAAGGAGCAGGTTGGAGAGTGCTGTAGGTGTGCAGCAAGAACAACACAGAGCTGGTAGGTCTGGACTGTTTCTCTCCTAGCTTAGGTGAAACTGAAATCTGGAAACCTTTACTTCCCTCAGTCCGTCTCTTTTACCTTCTGAGTGAATGTTAGTACTTATGAAAATTTGCTAGCTTGATCCTAAAGACTTAACTTTGCCGTTGTTTTTCCGCATGCACAAGATCCTGTGGCACTCGGGCCTGTTTGAAGCGAGCAGATAGGATAGGTTGTCCTTGTAGTTTACGTAATTTTAATTTTTACCTCTGCCATCATGACCAGTATTCTCGTTAGCTGTGATGCAGTTGTGTAGCTGCAGTAGAACTGCTATCGCAGGTTTGTTTTGCTTTGACTCTACTAATAAAGCTTCTTCAGTACTTTACAAAACTCAGTTGAATCTGCCAGTCCCTGATGCTAGGTGGTGATGCTGAACCTCTTCTTCGCTGCTCTCCGGAGGAGTCTCGGTGCTGTTTCTGTGGTGGCTACAGGACGGGCAACTGTGATACTGATGGGGCTCCTTTAGAAATGGAATATTCCAAAATTCTGCAGTACTACCACTGCAAATGTCCTCTTATGGTTGAGTTAAACTTCCTGTTGGTGCTTTCTAGAAGCAGAGGGTACCTGGAGGAGCGTTGGTGCTGTGCATCTGCAGACCCCGGCAGATAGACTACATTTCTTTGCACATTTGAGATTTTCTTCGTGGCCTTAGAGGCAGGACACGACTTGGTGTTAAATGGAAGCTTAACTTTTCTAGAAACCAATGATTTTTAGCTTGTGTTAACTATCTAAGAAGGATTCTAACTTAGGCCTTGATTATAGTGCCTTTGGGATGGGAAAACTACCTGAACACATACATAATTTAAAGCATGGGTTCAGATCTTTTTGATTTGAGCAGTCATACTTTCCGGAGCTGAAGACACTGAAAAGTAACTACTGCGGGTGTAGTTCAGTTTCCTTCAGTAAGAAGTTGGGGTGCTAGGCTGTCGGGCAAAAGAGGGTGGATAGAAAAAGGAGAAAAGTGGCAGGCTGAGAAGGATCAAACAATTTCTTAATTGTTAAACAATTTGTGTTACTTTTTCATACTGGATGTGGCATTCTTTGGGTTGCTTTGTACTTGCTACAGGTAGCCCAGAAGTGCCTAAAGCAACTAGGAATATAAAGAGGTGAGGAAATCTACAGACTTCTATAATATAAGAAATACAGAAAGGAACAGAAGAAGTATTATCAAGTAGTGGAATGTAGTTGTTTCTATTTCTCACTGACTAGCAAGCGAGTTCAAACATATCCTGATTATAGTTTCCCTGTATGTTGCTTGTGCTGCCAATATTATGCCTGTTAACTGTGTTGGCATGGCTGTATTTGGTTAAAAATGTCTGTAGTGCACAATGGTAACAGGAGCTTCTTATAGTACTTATAGTATATTTTACTTTCAAAGCATTTTACAAAACTTAATCCTTGCAACATGCCTGTGTGGTTGGTAAATAAAGTAGTATGAACTCTGCTTTAGAGCTGGGGGAAAGAGCAAGTTAGAGAAGTTCTGACTTGCCCAAGGCCATGAGGGAATCGATATTTT